ACGTCTGATTCAGTGACAACTCTACAACAGATTTATCAATCGGATCACCAGCAGTGATGGTGATACATGGTGGTGTAGATTCTGTATATACAACTCGTCTAAACATCAGCCCAACAATGTTAGATCTGTAAATTTTTTGTTCTTCCCTCGCCGGGATTCGAACTCTAGCTACTGAGATATCGTGACACCAAATCGCCTGCACTGTATCCGACGCGCTAGACCACACGATCACCTAGGCTTCAAAAATAAAGCTTTCGGTAGCCGTGTGTTACCTTTCCTCGTCAGTTTTAATCTAGCGTCGTAATACAGTACATGATATATAAGGCATGAAGATGTAATTGTTACAGATCAGCTGAAATATCTATTGTAAAGGATCCTACAAATTAATGTAAGATACAGTCACAGAAATAATTATATTTATAAGTACGTCTGAACCAGTGACAACTCTACAACAGATTTATCCATCGGATCACCAGCAGTGATGGTGATACATGGTTGTGTACATTCTGTATATGCAACTCGTCTAAACATCAGCCCAACAATGTTAGATCTGTAAATTAGCTTTCGCAATTTGTTTGTTCTTCCCTCGCCGGGATTCGAACTCTTGCTATTGAGATATCGTGACACCAAATCGCCTGCACTGTATCCGACGCGCTAGATCACACGATCACCTAGGCTTCAAAAATAAAGCTTTCGGTGGCCGTGTGTTACCTTTCCTCGTCAGTTTTAATCTAGCGTCGTAATACAGTACATGATATATAAGGCATGAAGATGTAATTGTTACAGATCAGCTGAAATATCTATTGTAAAGGATCCTACAAATTAATGTAAGATACAGCCACAAAAATAATTATATTTATAAGTACGTCTGAACCAGTGCCAACTCTACAACAGATTTATCCATCGGATCACCAGCAGTGATGGTGAGACATGGGTGTGTACATTCTGTATATACAACTCGTCTAAACATCAGCCCAACAATGTTAGATCTGTAAATAAGCTTTCGCAATTTGTTTGTTCTTCCCTCGCCGGGATTCGAACTCTTGCTACTGAGATATCGTGACACCAAATCGCCTGCACTGCATCCGACGCGCTAGACCACACGTTCACCTAGGCTTCAAAAATAAAGCTTTCGGTAGCCGTTGGTTACCTTTCCTCGTCAGTTTTAATCTAGCGTCGTAATACGGTACATGATATATAAGGCATAAAGATGTAATTGTTACAGATCAGATAATTATCTATTGTAAAGGATCCTACAAATTAATGTAAGATACAGTCACAGAAATAATTATATTTATAAGTACGTCTGAACCAGTGACAACTCTACAACAGATTTATCCATCGGATCACCAGTTGTGATGGTGATACATGGTTGTGTACATTCTGTATATACAACTCGTCTAAACATCAGCCCAACAATGTTAGATCTGTAAATTGGCTTTCGCATTTTTTTTGTTCTTCCCTCGCCGGGATTCGAACTCTTGCTACTGAGATATCGTGACACCAAATCGCCTGCACTGTATACGACGCGCTAGACCACACGACCACATAGGCTTCAAAAATTAAGCTTTCGGTGGCCGTGTGTTACCTTTCCTCGTCAGTTTTAATCTAGCGTCGTAATACAGTACATGATATATAAGGCATGAAGATGTAATTGTTACAGATCAGCTGAAATATCTATTGTAAAGGATCCTACAAATTAATGTAAGATACAGTCACAGAAATAATTATATTTATAAGTACGTCTGAACCAGTGACAACTCTATATATATATATATATATATATATATATATATATATATTATATATATTGAAAAGTTTAAAATTTTGTCCACGCTGTGCATAAAATAGGGAAAAAAAGTAAGGCTGAAAATGCACCAAATATTTATATTCAATATGAATATTCACATTTTATGTTCTCCATAGTATCCTACCGGTTTCACTGTTTAACAGATCTTCAAGGATATGGTTGCTGGCGACGTCGTCAGGGGTAACGTCCATCAGCGACATTATTATTTAGTCCTGAACATTATAATATAGCACAACGTAGGTACTTAAAACGAAAGTGAAAGTACATAATTATTGACGTTCAGGACTAAATAATAATGTCGATGATGGACGTTACCCCTGACGACGTCGCCAGCAACCATATCCTTGAAGATCTGTTAAACAGTGAAACCGGTAGGATACTATGGAGAACTTTTTTGAACAATTTGTTGTTGTAATAGACAAAATGTGAATATTCATATTGAATATAAATATTTGGTGCATTTTTAGCCTTACTTTTTTTCCCCCATATATATATATATATATATATATAGAAGTCTAAATTGAAAACAACGTTCAACCCTATGATTGCGTTGGATAAAAACCGCAATTTTTATACGTGTGCATGCAAAACAAATTTCTTGGTAGAGGGGTCTAAATACAGCACAAACAACATTTTCTAAAAGACCAAAAAAGTGAAAAAGTATATTTTAACAAAACGCATTTGACTAGCAGGTCGAACAACTGATGTTCTTAAACCCTGCTGGCTGCCATTGGCGATTGCCAAATAAACGGATCACGAGATGTAACAAAATGGATCTTATAATTAATCTATTACCAAACAGAAAACAATAAACTTGCGGAAAAGATGGTATACCGCAAACCAGAGGTGCAAAAATGTGTACACCATATCCGGATTTCGACAATTAATGTCTCTACAATGATGTTAGGAATCGAAAAGATATTTGGAAGGCCATATAATTTACCTCAATTTAGGATAGACTCTTGAATTTTGAAAGAGTCGAAATAGGATGAACGAATCATATAAACCCGAAGGCAAATATAATACAAGCCCAAACGAAAAAATATAAAGAAGTCTAAATTGAAAACAACGTTCAACCCTATGATTGCATTGGATAAAAACCGCAATTTTTATAAGTGTGCATGCAAAACAAATTTCTTGGTTGAGGGGTCTATATACAGCACAAACAACATTTTCTAAAAGACCAAAAAAGTGAAAAAGTATATTTTAACAAAACGCATTTGACTAGCAGGTCGAACAACTGATGTTCTTAAACCCTGCTGACTGCAATTTGCGATTGCCAAATAAACGGATCACGAGATGTAACAAAATGGATCTTATAATTAATCTATTACCAAACAGAAAACAATGAACTTGCGGAAAAGATGGAATACCGCAAACAAGAGGTGCAAAAATGTGTAAACCATATCCGGATTTCGACAATTAATGTCTCTTCAGTGATGTTAGGAATCGAAAAGGTATTTGGAAGGCCATATAATTTACCTCAATTTAGGATAGACTCTTGAACTTTGAAAGAGTCGAAATAGGATGAACGGATCATATAAACCCGAAGGCAAATATAATACAAGCCCAAACGAAAAAATATAAAGAAGTCTAAATTGAAAACAACGTTCAACCCTATGATTGCGTTGGATAAAAACCGCAATTTTTATACGTGTGCATGCAAAACAAATTTCTTGGTAAAGGGGTCTAAATACAGCACAAACATCATTTTCTAAAAGACCAAAAAAGTGAAAAAGTATATTTTAACAAAACGCATTTGACTAGCAGGTCGAACAACTGACGTTCTTAAATCCTGCTGACTGTCATTGGCGATTGCCAAATAAACGGATCACGAGATGTAACAAAATGGATCTGATAATTAATCTATTACCAAACAGAAAACAATAATAAACTTGCGGAAAAGATGGTTTCCCGCAAACAAGAGGTGCAAAAATGGGTACACCATATCCGGATTTCGACAATTAATGTCTCTTCAGTGATGTTAGGAATCGAAAAGGTATTTGGAAGGCCATATAATTTACCTCAATTTAGGATAGACTCTTGAATTTTGAAAGAGTCGAAATAGGATGAACGGATCATATAAACGCGAAGGCAAATATAATAAAAGCTCAAACGGAAAAATATAAAGAAGGCTAAATTGAAAACAACGTCCAACCCTATGATTGCGTTGGATAAAAACCGCAATTTTTATACGTGTGCATGCAAAACAAATTTCTTGATAGAGGGGTCTAAATACAGCACAAACAACATTTTCTAAAAGACCAAAAAAGTGAAAAAGTATATTTTAACAAAACACATTTGACTAGCAGGTCGAACAACTGATGTTCTTCAAGCCTAGGTGGTCGTGTGGTCTAGCGCGTCGGATACAGTGCAGGCGATTTGGTGTCACGATATCTCAGTAGCATGAGTTCGAATTCCGGCGAGGGAAGAACAAAACATTTGCGAAAGCAAATTTACAGATCTAACATTGTTGGGCTGATGTTTAGCTATATATAGATGGTGTCACTATGGTTGTAATTGTCAAACTAGTATAACAATACTATTGTCTTAATCTACAGAAATTGATCATGTTTAGGTAACAGAAATGACAATGTCACTAGGTCACCTGTAACTTATCTCTGGAACAAGGACTATGTGGGGTATAAGAGCTTACTTACTACAGGCTCTTCGTAATCATTTTGTAAAATATATCTACAAAGAAGGGAGACAAATTCACATATAACTTTGAATATTGTAGATTGTTCAGGTAGTCTTGAGCTATTTCTTTGTACAGCAGAACAACTAGTAGTTATCTTTACTTCACACATATATATATATATATATATATCTTGACAAACAAATAAAAAAGCTATAGACATTGAAAACAATTCATATCTATTTTACTGTCAGTCACCCTACCTACCATGAACTGAATCGTCTCCTAAGATTCAGTAGGTAAATTATGTGAAAATCAAGACTTGCATCAAAAATATCCCAATATGAGAGACAATGGCGTCATTTTTCCTTAGAACTTTCAGCTCTTTGATTTATTCATCGGACCTCACCACGAGTGAAGCAATGGGTACCCAGTGGTCCAAACGGTGACTACTAAAGAACAATGAGGTAACAAGGCAAAGCAAACTACATTTTAACTACTTTGATAAAAGGTTATGTTGACCAAAATTACAAAACAGAATAAAATACTCACGTTTTCCAGACATAAACAATTCTAAAAATTCGTCCCACGTTCCATCAAAGTTGACAAAAATATCTTTTAAACAGTGGTAATAATATGAAACACATACATCTTTAGGATTTCGAATCATGTGGACAATTTTGCCCTTGTTTTCTCTGTGTTGCTTAGGTATATATTTGAATAGACAATGCGTGTCCATAATCCTTGGTGATGGAACGCTGTTTAACACAGACAAATCATCAACTGCTTCTAACATGACTTGTATTTTGCTTTTTTTGTCTAATTCTGTCGTGTTTCTCAGTAACATATAAACAATTTCATAAGTCCAATGTGTTCCTAAAATAAAAGAATTTTTTTTTCTCGCTTGCATCAGACATTTGAAATATTAGTTGAAAAGAAAGAATATTGATAAAAAAAATATTAAAACAGTCACGCGAAGCCTTTCACATAAACAGATTTATCGAACGACCATTTAATTAAATAAGGAAAACTTTTGTTTGATAAGATTGTGTGAAAGTGTAGTGTAAAGAGTGTAAAAGTCAAAACTGTCAACCGAATCAAAAGGACCATCAAAAGCACGTAATTTATCTAAAACATCCAAAGAATTTTTTAGACTCAAAAAATGGTTAATTCCACTATTTTCTTATCTTTAAATACAAAAATTAATGATCAGTTCTTTGATAGTAGTTAAGGAACTCGTTAAAACGCTGAACGTCTAGTAGAAGAACACTGACTAGAGGCCGAGATGAAAAGATATTTTACGGGTTTTTTGTGTAGTTTAAGTAACCAATACATAGTGGAGACCTTCAAATGTTCAGAAAAGGCCTTAACCTGAGCTGTGGTTGTGACATGATTATTTACTATATGACTCTCTGTGGAGCGTACGGCATTGAATGTAGTTGAATGTATAATTTCATTCTTAAGGACTTCCGTGTAGTATTTACGTGATACCACCGCCACATTGTTGGCTGCTTTGTCAGCCGGTACGAACACAAAACGCTTTGCGACTACTTGAATATTGTTTTTAATCCTAGAAATGGGCGTATTACTTATTCTTTTATTTATTTCTAAATTATTTTTAAAATGTGATAAGCGAATATCAACAATATTCAGACATTTATTCAAATAGGAATAAAGTGACTCTTTGTCAGATTTCTCCCGTTTACACCATTTTTACAGTAGGATGAAATAGCATCTTTAATAACCTGACGACACTCTTCCCAATTTATTTTCGACGGTGGACGATATTTTGGTCCTTTTTTTAGAATCTTTATAACCTCTCGGTCTTAACGATGTTGAGGTCCCATGTAATTACATGGCCATAGGGATCATATCTAAACTTTGATGTTTCACAGTCTCATGTCGAACGAGCTTTATTTTCTATACTGTCGTCTGATGTAACTGACGTATAATTAAAAATTAACTTCTACTGGTTTTTTTATACGAAAAAGAATTTATAAGTGGCTCTATGTTATCAAAATATGGAGGTATAACAATTTGAACGGTAAATCATGAAAAATACTCCACTAATGAATAAAACCAATACCTCTATTAATGTATTTTATTTTTATGAAACACTTTTTATGGTCTTCAGGTTTGTCAATTTGAGGGACAGTCTATGGTGACAAAAGGCTGTAATAATACGTGTACACTATTTTGTTGGACTAAAAACGATACTGTATCACACTCGTTATAAATATTCTGTAATTTACTAATTTGACCCAGTTTGCATAATCATTGATGTCTACCATTGTTTTTAATTAGAGATAAAAAATCATCAAGTGTAAAATTAGAACCATGTTTATTTCGTTAATTGCGGTAAATGCGATTGCAATGAGACCTATGATTGGGTTGTCTTTTATCAACAATAGTCATGCTATCAATAGAGGAAGTTTTAGATATGTTCCCTTGGCCCATGATATTGTCATTTAGACCTAGGGGATACGCTGTCTGTAGTCGTTTAATCCAAGAAAGTTCGCAAAGTTTACAGGAATCTTCAAACTGTTTATGTGATTGTCCTGGTTGTTTATGGACGATTTGAAGTGGTTGGAATTTTATAAATTTTAATATCGTGTTACTATTTTTCTTAATGTTGGTAAATTAAACTTTTTTAATTTCTTAGGTCTGCGGAAGCGGTATAGATGTTCCTGTGTTCATTTGAAAAATTCACGTCCAGTTTGCCCTACATATTGAATATTACATTTCGATTTTGTTCATGTTACAAGAATATGAGGCTTTGGGTTTTTCAAGTAATGTCTTAAGAAAGGGAAAGAGAAAAAATGTCGGTTTCTATAAAAATTAGAGACAATAATTTGGATTTAAACAACTAAAGCTTCAAGTGCCGGGAGCAAATTGCAAGATAGAACAATATGTGTTCATTGTCGAAAAGATAGAATGCATTTGTAATCGCTACGAAACAGGAGAAAAGCTAGTAGAGCCTCGCTTTTCGTCCTGTTTCTAAAGCTCGTTCAAATTAATTTTATATTTTCCGACAATATAAAAATAAGAAGATGTCGTATAATTGCCAATGAGACAACTCTCCACCACAGACCAAATGACAAATAGAAGTTTACAGCTATTGGTCTTCAACAATGAGCAAACCCATACCGCATATATAGTCAGCTATAAAAGGCCTCGAAATGACAAATGTAAAACAATTCAAACGAGAAAACTAATGTACATATATTGTATATGAACTATCCCGACTTAAATCCACATTACCGAAGTCGTATAATTGAAGCAATCATGCTGTCAGTTATTATAGTCCTGATTCCTTTATACTCTGTTTTCCTTTTTTTAGTTAATAGAAATAAAGAAAGTGTATAAATAAACCAAAAACTAGGTCAACGATCGAGTCTATTGCTAGTGTGTCAGTCGGTATATTGCTTGTCGGTACATTTCTCTAGTTACAATATACTTATTAAGTGGCTTGAAACTTTTCTCTAAGTGTGCCCGAAACAACTTAATAAAGAAAGAAAAAAAAACTATCGAATACAACGAATTTGTTGTGTATAGCTTTAAAATACCATTATAAAAAAAAATTACGTCATTAATTTTCTGTTCGTTTGTCCTGATCACTTGTCAGCTAACACTATTAGATTTTTAAACATAACTACTATTCTTCCATACCTGACTTTGCATACGTGCAGAGTATTATATCTGAATCTCTAGATTTGACATTCATTATATCTTCAATAACGTTCTTGGCTCCTTTTTTCCTAAACGGAATAAACGATGGATACGAAACTCCTTCAAACTCTGGCTCAGGAACCTGTTCAAGATTGGCCAACATTTTCTTCTTCTCCTCTAGGTCCAACTCCATTTTGGTTTACTGCCTGTGTAATCTAAAGTGTCAATGAAAAGAAAGTACGCTGTCATAAGACAACTAGAGGCTCACAGGAGTCTGATTCACATGGCACAAACATAAAACATTAAACCTTTATCAATAGCGTCAGCTTTCTATCGGCATTAAGTATCATTTTAACCATGTTTGATACAGATTCAATCGGAGAACAATTTAAAATTAACAGCAGCATCTGGTGCGCATGATGAGGACCGACGTTCACAAATTGAAAGTATTGTAAGATTAAAATGGAACTGATAAAGTCCCACAACACTGGAATTGCAAATCTAAAAATTTTCATAAATCAAACGGTAGCTTACTAAATCTAACAAGAGGGTAAATTTACCCAAGTATAATCGAGCTAGTACGCGACATGTGAAAAATTTAAGTCCGAGCATACTTAAACCAAAAAAAAAAAAAAAGATTGAAAGGGAGCCTACTTTTTCCAATCCCAACCGTGTGTAAAGTTTCAATAAAATTGATTGAAGCAAATTCAAATTAGGCTAAGCGCGCATTTTGTTAATAAACTGTTTAATATCACATAATAATCATATATTTTGTAATTTTGATAATGCAAATGCTGAAAGTAAAATAGCCGTACTTTAACATGTAAGTTATGCAAATATTCAAAGTCAATGAAACATGACTGAAGGTACATGGCTAAACAATCTACATGGAAATGATATGTGCTAATACAACTGCATACCAAATACCATTTACTTATCATTCCCTTAAAACAAACATAGCCACAACCATTAACTAGTAAACTATATAAAAGTTTAAAAGTCAATGATCCATGATGAGGTGGTGGGGCTATATAATCTCCATGGAATGCAGACTTGCAAGTGTCAAAACATATGAATAAAATATCATTGACTTTAGTAGTTCATCTTAAACTGATCTAATCGCAAACTAATACATGAAACTAAACAAAAGTTTCAAAGTCAATAGACCATGACTGAGGAGACGGTGGCCAAATATTCTCGATGGAAATGAGATGTGCTAATGCTTATACAACTGCATACCAATTAACATTGGCCTACCAATAATGGTTCCCCTTAAACTGAACTAATCACAAACAAATACATGTAAACTAAGCAAATAGACCATGACCAAGGGGGCGGGGCCAAATAATCTCCATGGAAATTGGATATGTCATCGCTTATACAACTGCATACAAAATATCATTGACCTACCACTAGTGGTACCCCATAAACTGACCTAATCACAAACTAATACATGAAACTAAGCAAAAAATTCAAAGTCTATAGACATGACTTAGGGGGCAGGGCCAAATAATCTCCATGGAAATGAGATGTACCAATGCTAATACAACTGAATATGTAACATAAAATATTGTCCCCCATGAAATAATGTACAGGACAATATTTCATTATGAGATAGTGTCCTTGCCCATGAAATTTTGTCACCTCCCTTTGGACAATATTTCACTATGAAATTCTGACCATGACAATATTTCACTATGAAATACTGTCTTTGACATTATTTCACTGTGACATTTTGTCCATGACAATATTTTGTCCATGACAATATTTTGTCCATGACAATATTTCACTGTGAAATACTGTCCAAGAAAATTTTTCTTAATCATATTATTATAAAATTAAAAACCGTACACTTGAGCATGCATCATATAAAAAAAGAAGATGTGGTATGATTGCCAATGAGACAACTCTTCACAAGAGACCAAATGGCACAGGAATTAACAACTATAGGTTACCGTACGGCCTTCAACAATGAGCAAAGCTCATTTTTAGATTTATAACTGATATTATTTTGCAAAGTAAGTATTTTATATTTCAAACTAATATTTATTCTAACATAAGCTAGTTTCAAATTTGTATAGATACTTTATAAATGGTTAACTGATTAAAGAATTGTTTAACATATGTTTCATTGTACTGCATTATACTGTATAAATATAAGTAACTTACTTATGTTCAAAATAGAATGTACTTATAGCATTTGTAAATACTAGATTGACAAATCTCTTTGCCACGGCGTTTTGATGGTACAGGAGTAACTGGAATAATTATTTGTGTTTATTTGTTATTACCAATCAAATAAAACACTTTAATGATGTCATAATTATCAAACATGGTATATGTTGATAACCTCGCCTTCATGAGACAAAATTTCATGACAATCTGTCTATGAAATATTGTCTCAATACACACAAAATATAACCTCCCTTTAACAGGACAAAAAAGTGTTCATCTGTGAATAATTGTCTATATACAGACAAAATTTTACAATGGAAATTTGTCCATCTCTGAACATTTTTCATAGATGAGGACAATTTTTCATGATACATAAAATTGAGAATGGAAATGGGGAATGTGTCAAAGAGACAACGACCCGACCATAGAGCAGACAACAGCCGAAGGCCACCAATGGGTCTTCAATGCACCGAGAAACTCCCGCACCCGGAGGCGTCCTTCAGCTGGCCCCTAAACAAATATGTATACTAGTTCAGTGATAATGGACGTCATACTAAACTCCAAATTATACACAGGAAACTAAAATTAAAAATGATACAAGACTAACAAAGGCCAGAGGCTCCTGACTTGGGACAGGCGCAAAAATGCGGCGGGGTTAAACATGTTTTTTGAGATCTCAACCCTCCCCCTATACCTCTAGCCAATGTAGTAAAAAAAAAACGCACAACAGTACGCACAGTAAAACTCAGTATAACAGAAGTCCGAGTCCGATGTCAGAATAGGAAACAAAAGAAAATAAACAAAATGACAATAATACATAAATAACAACAGACTACTAGCAGCTACTGACATGCCAGCTCCAGACCTCAATTAAACTGATTGAAAGATTATGTCTTCATCATATGAATATCAGGCACAATCCCTCCTGTTAGGGGTTTAGTATTATACCGTCATAAAATATATGAGAAGAACATAACCCGTGTCATGCCAACAACTGGTTTTAGAATAAATGTGTTTAATTCCGATGCAAAGACCCTATAAGTGAATCAATATTAAAGCCAAAATATGCAATCTTTAATGACCTGACAACAGTATCGTAACTATATCCCTTCTTAATAAGTCTGTTTAAAGGTTTTGTTAGCTTTTGAGATGAATACTCACATTTTTGAGCTTTGTAAAGAATATTACCATAAAAGATTGGATGTGAAATACCCGAACGTATAAGATGTCTGCATGTTGAGTTCTATTTACGAATGATGTCCTTGTACCGATGATAAAATTTAGTAAATGTTTTGACTAGTTTATGATATCGAAAACCCTGGTGTAATAATTTTTCAGTAATACATAAATTTCTCTCGCTAAAATCTAATACGTTGTTACATACACGAGCGAATCGTACAAGTTGAGATATATAAACACCATAAGATGGTGACAAGGGAACGTCACCATCTAAAAATGGATAATTAACGATAGGAAATGAAAAATCATCTCTTTTATCATAAATTTTTGTATTAAGCTTCCCGTTAATGATATAGATATCAAGATCGAGGAAAGGACAGTGGTCATTGTTAGTATTAGCTTTATTTAAAGTAAGTTCAACAGGATAAATTTCTTTAGTATACACACTGAAGTCGTCATTATTGAGAGCCAATATATCATCCAAATATCTAAAAGTATTGTTAAATTGTTGTATCAGATGTTGTTTCGATGGGTCTTTGCTGATTTTAGTCATAAATTGTAACTCATAACAATACAAAAACAGGTCCGCAATAAGTGGTGCACAGTTAGTCCCCATTGGAATTCCGATAACTTGACGATATACGGAATCTCCAAAGCGAACAAAAATGTTATCAAGTAAAAATTCAAGGGCAGATATAGTATCAAAGCATGTCCAATTGACATAGTTCTTTTGTTTGTTGCTACTAAAAAATGACATAAAAGAGTTTGAACATATGTATTCGCATTCCGACTTTTTAAATGCCCATTTAATTAGGTGTGTGATTTTTTTCTTAATAAGAATATCAGGCAAAGTGGTATATAGGGTAGAACAATCAAAACTTTGAACAGATTCAAAATCACCAATATATGCATGTAATTTATCAAGTACTTCGAATGAGTTTTTGACACTCCAAAAGTAATTAATTCCACTATTTTCAAAGGCCTTGTTTGAACAATTTATTATCAGGTTTTTGATTGTACCAAGTGTACTAGTAAGTAGAATAGACAATTTAGTAGTGAAACAATGACTTGAAGACGAAATAAATCTATATTTGTAAGGTGATTTGTGTAGCTTCGGAAGCCAGTACATAGTTGGGACTTTCATTGTATTTGGTTCTGCTTGTAAAGAAGTAGCTAATAGTTTATGTTTGTTACAGATATCGTTTTCTGAAAATGAAGTCAGTTGGAATGTTGGTGAATTCGTGATTTCCTTTTGCAGAACCTCAATGTAAAATTTACGTCAAACTATAATGATATTATTAGCAGCTTTATCAGCCGGGACAAAAACAAATTCCTTGGCTAGTTCTTTTAGTTTATGTTTGATACGAGAAATAGGATTTTTATGGTTGTTGTTAAGAGTAAAATGTTCTTTAAAATGTTGTATACGTATATCAACTATCTTCATTACTGAATTAAAAAAAAGAGTCCAAAGATTTTTTGTCAGCTTTTTCCCGTTTTATCCATTTCAAACAGTAAGCACGAAGTGAGTCGTGGATGATATTACGACACTCATTCCAATTAATAATTGACGGGGGGCAATATTTAGGTCCTTTACTGAGGAATGATTTTAACTCTCGGTCGCGAACGATGTTAAGGTCTCCTGTTATAACATGGGAAATGGGGCCATAAGTGTATTCGGAATTACTAAAATTACATGACGTTGGTGTCATAGTCATGAAATATTGTCTTTGGGGACAATATTTCATAGGACAATATTTTGCTTTACACATACGAAATATCATTTACCTAGTACTAGTGGTTCACCATAAACTAGACGTAATCACAAACTAATACATTGTTGACGCCGCCGCCACCGCCGACG